GGGCCAGAGGGATACAAGGTGAAAGAAGCTATAAGAGTGGAAAGGCTGATGAAAAAAAAGCTTATCATGTTAGCACAGCAACCTACAAAGCTATCGGTTTTACATTACCTTGTTGCCTTGTATGGGTACAGCTATATGAGGTGACACGTAAAAGGGAGTTCAGCGTGTTGTCATTCACCACATGGGAAGCAATGGGGAAGGAGACCCTTCGAAGGAAGATCGGTGCAAGACGAGTTTTCGAAGCCGAACGTAATTTGCAGTAAAAGGGTGTTCTCAGATATAGCGTTGAAGACGATTTGTAGTGTAGAGGCAATTGCTGCTTTTGAGTTGCGTTGACATGGGAACTGGATTGTGGCAAGTGGGAGAAAGGAAGGTGGTGAATAATCCACAGACTTTGTCTTTGGGCTGGAAATGGAAAGAAGGAGGAGGTGCATGATGATGGAAGGAGATTTATTTTTGGACAACTGGAATACGTCTATCATCATCGTCCATGAGGGTGACTTTACGGCATGTTGTCCATAATGCATACATGTGCAAATATATAATAGATGTGGTATAGAAAATGGGCTTCTTTATTTTACCATCCTTGTGGTGGTGGATATGTGTGAGGGGGTCACGTGTAACCGTTTTGGGTGCATTAATCATTGACCAGACCCCGCCATGCGTCCCACTCTTGACTCTAGTCAACCACCGCTATCACTGCTCCTCCTGCACTTTGGCTATTGCCGCATAGACACCTTATGTAAATACAAAGAAGTATACACACACACCCTGTGTACTAATCACTCGTCTCCATCTATGTCTTCATTGCAAACAAAAGTTTTCCGAAATGAGTCATCAACTTGGTCCACAATGAGATTCCAGTTACCAAGGTGCCCACTTATTCTGTCATATTGGGATACACCCTACGAATCTGAGGATGGAAGCTTCAACGTATTGAATCATTGTAAGGGGTGAGTGCATTGGGAAAGGTGATGATGATGAGCCTAACAAGGGTATTTTCTTTCTAGTGAGCAAGACCATGCCTGTTTTCACGTGAGCAAGCTGAGGCCTATTTCAAAGAACATCAACATCGATGTTGTATCTACTTTGATGCCACAAACGAGGATGTAGGTAAGACGTGAACTTGGATAAGGATGGCATCGGTGGGATGAAGGAATACATGTTGATCATTGACTTTGGTAGTGAGCATGTTGGAGAAAACAACGTGCATTGGGTTGATTCTGTTATTCAAGCATTGGGGATTACCACACTGGCAAGGCTTACATGCCCACCCCAAGACATCAATACATTGTCATTCGTTTTGTCGTCATGTACACACAAGGTCCGTTTATGGCTCACAAGTATATGATGATTGCGACCACAAGGCCCATGCATGCGTCTGGATTTGGATGATGGGGTCTCTTCTGATATGGAACGCTTACCAGTCTACCAGCTACCTTTGCCAGCGTCTTTCAGCTTTCCTTTCTTGAACGATGACTTCCAACCTCTTTATCTTGGATCCTGATTTATGAGTGCACTATCAATCATTCGAAGGCTCATTGTGAAGGAGTCCTCAACACCAATCTATCACCGTATCACCATTTCATTATTGCCTTGCTCTTTTCCCGGATCCCAGAAATACCCACACCTATCGTCTACATATGAACAGGATGAATGTTGTCGCCTATCATTTTCCTCCCACATATCTGTTTTTCTATCCTAAATGCCCAATGGTGCTGGCGGCGAGTATTGTTGAATTCAATTGTGGTGAAGAGCAACGACAAAGCACAAAGTGAGAGGACAAAAGACCAACACCTTTGCGTAACGAGATGGCTCATTACACCAGGACAAGATGCAGGCTAGGTATGCTTTAGAGTGGCTGTATACAGATGGATGCAATGGCTAATAAAGATATGGGATTGTATTGTAGCTATGGCCATGTACGTATGCAATGGGATTGATGGGTGCTGTGTTCTATGCTTGCTTATACATACAAGTTCCTTCCTCATTTTTATTTCCCTCCCTCTCTTTCCGCTTCTTTTCACTTCCCCGCAACGCACACAATGTCCTTGTCATCGATAACCGATATTCCCAAGATTGCTGTACAGCACAATGATTCCAACACCATCATCTCGGAAGCCACAATGCAATTCATTCAATCAGATTGTGAGGATATCAATGCACTTGAAACACGAGCAAAGGCGTTGGCGAGTTGTGCTCAATCAGAGTTGGCTTTACGTGATGCATTGGAAATCATTCAGCTAGCACCTTCATCATCCGCTGGTCATTCCCTTGCTGGTTGGATTCATACCCAATTTGGTCAACATGAAACAGCTCTTCAATGTTATAATGGTGCTTTACGAGTGGAAGACGACGCGATGAAATGGAAAGAGATAGATGAATGCCGAAGACACAACGCCCAACAGCTCTTGAAGCGAATCGACTTTGTCAGCAGCCTTCCTTTCGAGTTGCTCTCATTCATCCTGCCAGATACCTTGAAGATTCTCTCCATTGGTGATCTCTCCTACTTGCACGTATGCACAACATGGCGACAACGTGTATTGCAATCCACTCAACTTCGATGGATCCGCCCTCAAGTATTATCATCTCATGCCATGCATCTACTTCACGCATACGCTCCATTCATTCAACATCTTCGATTACTATGCCCTGTATTCTATCCGCTAGCTGTTCGACCTGGGACATGTTTTACCTCTTTACGATCGCTGAGTATTGACCGTAAGTGTTAAAGGGAGTCAAATGTATAAGCGTATAATAACATGGACTGTGTAGTGGATTCGAAGGGTAGCACAACAGCATTGCTTACGCTGTTTCCGATGATTGGGAAGACATTGAAAGAACTTCGTTTATGGATCAACTATCGCATTCGAGATGAATGGATTCGATTCGATGACATCCTCCACCATTTCCCCAACATTGAGGTTTTCTCAAGTCGCAACGTGCACCTTTCACCTTTATGTCAGACATATGCCAATATCAGTGGCCTCATTATCACGACTATTTACAACCCTCTTAACGAACACGAGATCATCGCCTTGTTGAAACAACTACCAGCGTTGCAGGAATTAAAGCTACCACGCTGCCAAAGCTCCCGCCCACTTGCTCTCATTCACCAATATTGCCCTTCCCTTTGTTCACTTGGATACAGCATGACAGAGGATTCTTCAATGAGATACATTGCCGACAGGGTTATCAATGGCAATGGGTTCCATACCTTGGGGATTAAGGCTGAAAGAGGTTTCCAAATCCATGACTTGGCTGCCGCATTGACCGCATATTCAAATACATTGGTGTACATGTCCCTGGTGGGGGTAGCGACTTCTCAAGGCAACATCATGAATTTGGATCCGAATGTACGATTCCCACGCCTCCGGGTTATTTGGTTTGATCTTGCCGCTGGTGAAGAAGGAAAGGAGTTACTACAATGGATCCTCAAGGATGCACCAAACCTACGAAAGATCGACAGGATCCCTTACAATATCGATCATCCACATGTTTATGAATCTATGAAGGAGATGCAGCATCTCGGCTTTCTTGACTTTGCGTTACCATCACCAACCTTGGTTCGCGTGCTAGAGTATCATGCAGCTTTGGGCCCACAGTCGACTTTACATACACTGAAAATCAATTCCATCGGCGATCGTTGTGCACGTGCATTGGATGCCATTTCTCGCATGTCTACATTGTTGATCATTCATTTACATCTTGGTGGTGCTACCCTGGGACAAGAGTTTGTTGCTATTATTGAGAATCTCTTTAACGGATGCCAGTGGTTGCAAGAGATGGAACTAAGTTGTGACAATGAATTACCGCATGATATTATCCACAAGTTTCCTATTTGCGACTGCCTTGAGACCCTCCTATTACGCACGCCAAATGATTGGGGCGAATGTCTGCTCGACCTATTAGATTGCGAGTCATTGATATTCGTTGATATCCCTACCGATAATCTTCCTATTGCAGTTGAAGAAGCTTTGAGTCATTTACTTGATGATTGAATATGCCACGTTGCTCTATTAGAATCAGACACCCTTATGACCTTGATCTCATCGCTGAATAAATTGTCCAAGAAGATTGTTGTATATGTTCGTGCTTCGTATCCATAATGGGATGTTTGTGAGGCAATTGTATTATTGTAAGTCAGCATACAGCGTATACACAGTATATCATCTCCAATATGAGGATGAAAGACAAAGCAAAGCCCTCTTGGTCTTTTGATGCAGGCTCACATAACCACATTGAGACACATCCTCAGGCCAATAACACCTCCACATTGCCTTTATTGATACCATCATGCTCGTATAACGCATTTTGAATTGAAAAGGGTATAAACGACACCTTTGTAGCTTTTGGGGTAAGGCATGCCCAATCATGGTGACGGCTATTAGGGTATTCGTAATCATTCTTAATCAAGAAGCATTACACCTAGTGTAACGGGTGGGGTAATCGTCAACAGAGTCTTTGGGATATGGAGTCTAGTAAGCAGCTACTGATGGCTAACCAATAATTGAATCCCTTTTAGGAATCCATCCCACAATGATTGTCATCACAAATATGGCTCACACGTGTAGCTCAGCAGCCGCAATCCAAGCTAACATTATCGTAGGGTCCGAATGTAACGCAACACCAGGTTTGATATGGTAATTGCTTTGCATTGGCGTAACGCCTCAGCATGTTCCAACAATTGTTAATCATTGAGTTTGGTAGTGAGCCTATTGGAGAAGGCAATGTCGTTGTGGTGCTCCCATTATTCGAGTATTTGGACCTATCGCGTTGTCAAGGTTCGCGTACACACCCCAAACCTTCATCGCATCTGCATTCGTTTCGCTTGACGGTGGGCATAAAACCCAGTTATGGCTCTTAAATAAACGATGATTGCGCCTGCAAGGCCATGTATGCACCTTGGATCACGTGCCACGACCTATTACAATGGGAGCCTTTATATGACATTTCCCTCATTAAGGATGATTGGTACGAGAAATAAACTTTGTGTGCCAAAGGCAATCATGGTTGGCCTTCATTGTCAGCCACACGTACAAGTTGAATACTGCAAGGCATTTAGAGGAGATGTTTGTTTACGTAAATAAAGCTGCATTCAGACACCGTTGCATACATACACCATCACAGATATCATCAAAAGTTGCACGAGCAGCCATTGATTTTTCAAATGTGTGCCTTTAAAAAGAAAAGGCTATGGATTATGCAGTTTACATGCAAAAAGTGGCCTATATCGTACTTCAAGGTATACGTTGCCATGGTTTCGGGTCGTAACCATGATACGACCAAAATGGGATTAAGATTCCACTGTGAAAAAAGGATATCCAATATGCTACCTGCTTTTCCGAAGAAGAGACGAGTACTTGATGGATAATCCAAAAGGTCATTTTATTACGTACAATCCACTAATCCTCGCTTGCACGTTTAACATGTGAAGCCATTTCAACCATATTTGAGCTAGACATCTTTATTCGGGTATTACCAATGTACCATAAGAGATGGAAAAAGAGAGAAATGTATGCGTAGATGCTAAATGGGGGTGGTGGTATGGGATACATTTTCGATAATGAGATAGCTGATGTTGCATCCATTGTATGGGGGTTTAGATGGACCATTCGTAAAGAGCCAGTGATGCAGGCTGGCGTGACACAAAAGCACCCGCACCATCCCTCCCAGATAGGGGACACTTTTCCTACCCCCATAACCCCTTTTGATCACATTGATCTCTCCTTGGTTTCTTCGAACTTTATCTTCCAACATGGAACACTTTGACAACAACGATGGCGTCCTTCCTTCACCATTGGCGAACGACATTACCAACCGCTTGCAAGATGTCGGAATTGAGGGATCGCTGATTCGTAATGAGGACGTCCTGAGATCTATGAGAGACAACATGGTGCCGTCGCTTTGTATGAAGAATGTGGATGAGGCACTGTCGATTGCAAGAGAATTGAAGTTGATGTTTCCAAAATCGGCAAGGTGTGCCAAGTATGAACGCTTGATTACCACGTTCAAGAGGCTCTCGGATAACGTGGATCAAGCAGCAGCATCCATGGCAACACTCAATGACAGCAGAGGAAAGATTGATTTCATCAGCATACTTCCTGACTATATTGTCGCCCGCATTGTTGACTATCTTTGGGGAAGCATTTCGAGCATGCATGATACTACGCCTACGTTTTTATATGTGTCAAAACATTGGCGCAAAACAATCCTCAAAACCACGCCATTTCTATCGTATCAGCTATCAACGACAAATCAGTCGGCTTTTGATGTTGCAACCATGTCATATTACTTTCATATTCGAAGAATGACGATTCATGGAAGAGTCATCTTGTTTTCGCATCTACATGAGACACACTTTGTCAACTTGAAACATCTCTGCATTGGTGAGTCACCATTCGTTCCTCTTTTTAAGCGATCTTTATTTACATTTTCTTCATAGACATACCCTATGATTCGCCTGCAAGTTCACACAATGTTGCATCGTCTTTGAGCACCGAATGTACCACTGTGAGACACCACTACAATCTCGATGAAGTCATGGAACGCTGTCCAAATCTCGTGAGCTTGAAATGGATGGGCAAGGCGCTGGATGCGGGAAATGGAAAGCAATACCGGCAGCTACGAGTATTGGAGCTATTTGGCCACTATGATAGTTTCGATGAGCTTCTCGTACAATTGCCTTGTCTCGTGGTCCTCTCCATTCGGGATGTCCTTCGCGTTGATGAGCTGGATCGAGTCATGAAATATTGTCCATCACTAAAGTGCCTCAAGTGCCATCCATCCCCTAATGAGTTGATTCAATGGCCATACGAATGGGATCAGAGTTTGGAAAAAGGCATCCAGGATCTTGCTTTTTATGGAGGAGTCTATGGCGATGGTGCGAAACACATGGTGGAGTCCCTTGTACGAGCATCCAAAACGTTGAAACGTTTCGCTTTGAACCTTTCACTTTTTGACGCCTATGACCAAATGATGCCCCTGCCATCAGAGACAACCTTTCCTCACTTGGTGTATCTTTCGGGTGGGTCAACATACAAGGATGACACTATTGGACTTTTACGCAGAATCATTCGGCGTTCACCATGCCTTGAATCGATACAACTAGGTCATCATTTTTTTATATCTGATCAACCTTTACCGATTGAGCTGATGGCATCTTGTACCCGGCTGATCCATATCAACCTCATCATGAATGAACATCGTCAAGACGTCCGAGCTTTGAAACGATTTATCAAGACGCATATTGAAAGGGGTAGTCATTCGACATTGCGGTCACTCTCAATGGCAGTATGGGAGGACAAAGGCGCTCGTAAACTTTTACCGCTGATCGCACAGTTACCCTTGCTAGAGGATTTGCATCTCGCTGTGGGCTCCAATTGTCGAATAAGCAAGATTGTGGACGCCATCTCTACCAACAATGCATTTAATATCAAGCAACTGCAAATCAGCTTTGTGGGTTGGAGCACCGTTGAAGGGCCTGTTTTTGACGCATTACAACATTTGCACTGTCTAAACTCTCTGGTCATCAGCGTACATCACCTGTCAACATTGGCTGCACTTTCATTACTTGAATTGGATCAGGTTTCCCGGTTACAAATACCATTTGACGGACTTGATGATTCGATCTTTGCCATCCTTCGCAAACAGTTTCCCAGTATGATAGCCTTGAAATGATACCACAGATACACATGACTACCCAGTTGTATGCCATCTTTTTTTCACACGATGTTAGTGGGCAAATAAATAGTAATGAGGATGATGATACACTATTTTGAAACCAGAATGCTATGTACAAACATGTGGTAGTCGATGCCAATAGACATGACATAATATTTTATTGTGTTGCCATGACAACTATGCAGGATGCTGGTAACTGAAAATACATGCACATGCGAAAGGAACCCGAACCAGGCTATCACGATGCAAAGCTGGTTGTCGTATGGGGGTACCATCATCCTATTGAGCCTTTTTGCGGGCTCTTTTATCCATACATGTTTTGATGGCCCAATTTGGGGATCATTGGGAAGGCATTACCAACCACAAACCACTATCCCTGCTACCTCCCATATGGGAACGTGTATAGCCATCCATCCCGATGGGACACACTCACGTCCTTTGCAATCTAATCACTCTTTTTACATGCCGACAAGCTGCTTATGCAAATAAAGCAAAAACAAAGTATGCAATCGAGGTGGTTCTTTTATTATGGTTAAATCTTTTTACTTTCTATGCATGTTGGATGATGGTAGTTTTGGGGTTGCATATAAAAGTGATCGAGAAAGCAGTATAATGGTGAATAGGAAGGGGATTATCATTGGCCAATCAAAATGCTGTGTCACACCATGCGGCAATATTCTTGTTGCTTGGATACAAGGGCATCCGTTCCTGGTCCGCCACCACCACTACAACCACACTCGACATGTTGCCTCAACCTGGTGTCCCCATTACGATCAACGACCCAGCAAAGATTGACCAGCTCAACCAATTGTCAACCAGCGTATACGAATGCGTGGAAAAGCTTGTCTCAGCACTCGATGCCAGAGCATCTTGGCTCTTGAATTCCGAGCAACTGAATGCAGCCTTGAATGACGCGAACGTCATGATCGGTATTGCACCTTCGTCACCTCTTGGCTACTTGAATGCTGGGAGTATCTATGTTATGGCGAAACAACACAAATCGGCTATTGATATCTATGACAAAGGGCTGCATCACGTACCAAAGACCGATCCAAGATATCATCAGCTCATCGAAGCAAAAGCCAATGCAGACAACAAGAGAGATAAGCGTGTCGACTTTATAAGCAAGCTACCTTTGGACGTGGTGATGTGCAATATTATTCCAAGGATACTGTGTGGCCAAACAGAAATCGTGATTGGAATGGATCATGAATACTTGAAGGTGTGTCGTGCTTGGCAACAGAGGATAGCAATGATGGATGACTTGATGTTTCGTGTTGGACCTTGGCCAGTACCCTGTCATCAGCATCTATTGGATATGGCCCCTTGTATCAAATCGCTTAATGTCGTCGAGAATGACCAAGACATTTTCACCAAGCTTCCGGAAGGTGCTCGTTTTCATTCTTTGAAGCAATTGAATGTTTTTTGTAAGGAATCAACAAAAGTGTGTGTGTGGAGAAGAGCAAGACTAATAGATTTTCTAGATCTTACTTCAGCAAGACCCTCCCCTCCGTTATTGTTGGATCTGCTATCATCGTTGAGATCATTGACCCACCTCACCATTGATTGCGTGTTCGGATTGCACAAATGCCGCCTATCCCATATTCTCGATGCATGCACAAATCTCGTGGCGATATCCGTTGCATACCTTGACTATGACATGTCTGAGGCATCCAAGGCATACTCAAACATCACCAAATTGGAAATCAAATCATACGTCAGCGATGTTAAGATTGCAGGGCTTCTTCAGCAGCTTCCGAATTTGCAATGCCTTCAGCTTCAATGCATATCAGATAACAATGCCCAAGTGCTATCAGTCATCCAGCAGCATGGTTCACACCTACAAGACCTCTTTTTGTCCAACAAACGTTTTTATCGCCCTGAAAGCATATGCGAGGGTCAAACGAAAGGGTTACGAGCACTACATACTTCCTGTGAGAGAAGCTACGCAACGATATCAGAGCGTCGTATCCATGCTAACAACATGCGTCAGCTATTCACCGAAGATGACATGGTACGATTTATCATGCGGCACTGTGAAACGCTAGAGATGATTACGATCGATACCCCTCGTGCATTCGCTCCACCAAAGAGACTGCTGAAAAAAGATAGCACTCAACGGATCACATTCAGCCGTTTGCGCACATTACGTTTTCCTTCCGATAGCCAAAAACATCTTGTTCCTTTTTTGATGTGGATCATACGACGTGCACCTCATTTGGAATCAGTTGATACAGTTCATGGTGCCATTAAAGAGCCTTTGATGCACGAGCTCTTGAGTCCAACACGGCCGCAATATTTGAAGAAGATTGGATTAGTCGCGGACAGGTCAACGCACGTGTACGAAGAACAATTCATCCAACACCATATTCGATTGGGTCATTACTCCAACTTGAAAGAAATTACCGTCACCATCAGCCCTTGGACACTCTCAAATCCATGGATCCTTTTGATTGGGCAATTGACGCAGTTGACCCACCTTGAAGTATGCTACAAGGGATATGATGTTGTGGATGGATCGGTATCGCCCTTTATTGCTGAGATCGCTTCCCGGTGCTCTTGTCTCGAACGATTTACATTTACTGCAACACCATGCAAGGTCGATTATAAGGATTTCAGTGGGATCGCGCCTCATAGCAATCTAAAAACTCTCGTTATCAAGGCCAGTGAGCTACGCGGTGACGCACTTTCATTTGCTCGTCGACACGACAGCCTCCATTCATTACATGTTACGCTTTTCAAATTCAATTGGGTCGACATGGATGTATTATTAGATAAAGGAACATTTCAACTTGTATGTACGCAGAAACGTTATATGTCTGTTTTTATGTAAATGCATCCTCATTACAATAAACATGTATTCAATTGTCATTTGGTTCATCCTAACACTTTTTAAAGAGCATAGTTTTGTTGCTGATGCTATGCGGAAAGATACCAGGGACAAGGATGCTAACGAAGAAGCTCCAAAAACAAAGTCTATCATCCCAATTTTGATTTTGATCTCATGTTATTGCTTGTATAAATGTATTGGTTGATCATTCAAGGTAGTACATTTTTAATGATGAAAGGACGTTGGATGAGAACGCCTTGGATGATGTAGGTGTGATTGTTTTTGACCGCTTATGGGGCACCATTTTATGAAACGCATCAACGTAAATAGCTCTACCGTTGCATCATGTCCATCGTAAACCATTACCATTCATCCAAATACATCCTTATAGATTATACGTTGTACTTTTTTATTCTGATCAAAGAAGCCTACACTAATATCGCTAAGGAAGCAACAGCACGCATCTCACCCTCCACGAGGCCTTACCCTATCTATTTCGTCCTCCTCGAAAGCGTGTAGCTAACCGGGTTTCAAGCATACATGACATCAACCGGATTCTCTTTTAGCAAGTATATCCACAGGATCCATCATTCGAACTAACCGCGAATACGTGATACCACACTGCTTCCGCCTTGAACAAGTATATGCACAAGATCCATCATCCAAAGTTACCTCGACAACCAAAAAGACCAGTAACCATGTTGGATTTCCATCACCGCAACCAGCATTTTTGTCCCCATCCAATCGTATTGCAAGACAAAGAGAAAAGAGATATCTTGAGGTTGGAGCAGATGAGCTCCGTGGATAGCACATGTCGCGTAGCTTGTAAGCCTTGTCGGATGATTGAGGGGATGAAAAGAACGTATCCAATAGAGCGCAATGGCGTGTACATGAAGATTGGTGCTTTGAGAACCACTTGAAGAGGATGATGATGATGATGATGATGACTGAAAGAAGTATTAGAGCGTGCTAACAGCTCCCCCATTATATCCCATCAACCCTTGTCACCATACCATTATGTCTCTTATAGGCAAGCTTGCCGGTGGAATATCTCCTTGGCGTTTGGCAGCGCACGATGTTATCGCATAGCGTCGTGCTGAGCAGCTTTGCGTGTAGTGGAGATTACCAAGTTCACCCATTGCTGAACAAGCTGTAGCAATCCGTATTGTCGACGATTGTTTTTCGTTGAGGGGCACATTGTCAAGGTGGAAGTTGTTGAAGGTGTGCAAAAGAGGGAGGCGAAACAAGTAAAAGCGGGGGTGTGCAAGCGAACAAGGGATGACGCGTAACCAGGAAGCGAATGCTGACTGAACACGAAGCTGATGGCAGTTCAGGGATGTGCAATGTCGCGACAGGAATAAAAGTAGAGAGAGACGTCAAGTGTAGAAAGCGGGAATAAAGAGGAGGATGTTGTTGACTTGTAGGAGTTGGACCATGCAATTTATCCTTGGGCGGGATTCGACTTGCCGTGTCATGCTATGCAGCACATAAATAACATACGTGTGTATTCCAGCATGCGTGTATGGCTATATACATCTATCAATGACATGGAATTTCTGATTCACAAGCATAATGGACGATAATCGTGATAGAATAGGGGGGGTTAAATGGGTGTGTGGGATGATGCATGCATGTGTTTCTTTGTCTGGAGTCTTGGTGTCACAAGCCTTGTTGTAGTATCTCATCCTGGAAATCTAGCTCTTTTATTCTCTCCCTCACTTTCAGACAAACGACTCGAGCACTATGTCAGCCTCACCCAACGTCGACGATTCCCAATCTGAACACCCCAATGTACTTGCATCGGCGACAGCGGACAAGAAGTGTGTGGATTTCGTCAGCCATTTGCCATGGGAGATCGTAAAGTGCAACATTGTGCCACGAATCTTGGGAGAGGGTCGTCCAGTATTTCGTCTCCATCGACCATGCCCTTACTTGGATGTATGCAGCACCTGGACCAAACGGATTGTATCGGCTGACGATAGCATCTATTTCATTATGAGGCGCGACCCATGCGATCAGGAGGCATTGACAAGCGTATCAGAACGGTGGCACCTTACATCAAAACGTTATCAATGACATGGTACAATGACAAGAGTATGGGCATACATTTAAAGTGTGATACGCTTGTGGCATTGACCAAGTTGACTATTCGAGGTAAATACTATGAGCGATATTCAATGACCATTTTCTAATGTGCGTGTGCTTACGAAGTTTCAGGATCCCAAGGAGCATTGCTGCAGCTACTGGATATCAGCCCAAATTTGACTCATATGGATATCTTTTATGTCGCCGATATCGATACGCGCTTGTCAATATTCGAGTTATTGGATCGCTGCCCAAAGCTCATTCGATTGAGCCTTCTACTACCCGGCAATGCCATCATGGATACAACAACAACACGACATGGTAGAACATATGACACCATTACCCATTTACAAGCTATTTGCGAGGATCATAACAAAAACGGCACCTTTTCACCTCTCATTCAACGTTTACCGAATCTGCGCCTTTTAAGCTTGAAATACCTGTCTTCCCTTCCAGCCTGGGGAATCAGACAACACCAATGTCAAAAGTTACAACAGCTATACATGAGCTCTCCTACTATGACGTATGATGTCCATGATGAGGTCCAGTGCGAAGATGAATCACCGGGATTGAGAGTATTGTCCTTTGATGGAAGATACGATATGGGTTACATCGCCAACATTATGATACGACATTCTGCCACACTTGAATCGCTTGTATTTCAAGAGCACACCTATTTCAACACATCGACAACCAGATCATGGGCAAATCGCGACATTCAATTCAATCAGCTTCGATCGTTAAGCTATGAAAATGGTACTCAACGAGCTTTTATCGACTTTATGAATTGGATTATCGATCATGCACCCAACCTTCGATCAGTGGAGACAATTCATGGTGCGATGCAACGCCATCACTTGAATAGCACTCTTCGCGAACGCCCATTGCAGAGGATTGGTTTCTACTCTACATATACTGAACAGCCAAGCGAGCACCAATTTATCCAACATCATGTACAGCTTGGAGCTGGATCGCATCTTCAGGAGATCAAGTGCACTTTTTATGATTACATACTCAATGATTCATGGGTGGCACTCATCCCAAGATTGACAGAATTGAAAACGATCGAGCTATGCTTTCACGACGATGCCGAAGTGGATGGATTGGACGCTTTTATCCAGCAAGTGGCGAATGGTTGCATTGGCCTCGAGAAAGTTATCATGAAGGCGTTCGAATTTCCCTATCACTATGATTGGATTCGTCCTTTGGCTGAACACCCCAACCTACAGGAGCTGATCATTGAAAAGGAAGATGATACATCTGCCAACCTCATGCTCGGTGTGAACCACGATATCCCCTATGATCTTTTAATCGCTCTGGAATCGTTTACACATCTCAAAACGCTGCACCTCAAGTATGATATTAGCAATTGGGATCGGGTTTTCGCATTGAAAAGAAAAGTACCGACATTGATGTACACAGAGAGATATGATCCCATCTAATGTCCTTCAACAATAAACCGATTGCTTTATCCTCCCTCATTAATCCATTCGCATAGTATAAAGACATGGTTACCTTTTCTCTTAACTAATAAAGCTTGTCAGTATCCATATTTCTCTTCCTATTTTGTGTAGAATAATACGAATACATTCCTCACTTGAATCCACAACAACGTGATTCATTGGACAAAGAGCACACACCACTGCTTCGATTCAAAACGATACAGCTGTATACGTCATTCTCGATCATAAAGCTATACCTCCTTCGTTAAGTTTCTCCGGGGACTTCGCCTTTATCAGTTATCTTTTTGGTAATATGCTTCTGTAGCATGCCATCAAATCGTCATGCAAGACAAGAACCGCGTTTTATTCATGAAATGATTGATGCACCTTACGAGAGTGGAAATAGGATGACCAAGGTTTTCTGTCAGCATCTCCGCTTATGCATGACCTCAGGACATAGAATGCAGTCTTAATCGGTTTGCTCTTTTCAAAGGACGATCACCATCATTAGTGCGCGAATGTGTGAAAAGTGGGTGCCAGCTTGTATATGAATTGTTTGTTGTGTCTAGGATAGCACTAAAAAACAGCGTGCCGCTATAGCTGGCTGCTCTACTTCCATTGCAGCATGTGGGTTTTGTTTCATCAACATGTCGTAGCGGATCATCTGGCTACGTTTCAAGCCCTCCAACATGAATCACAAGATGCCTTGTGGTATATGGCTCTTCATTAATCTCGGAGCCGCCAAAATTCATACCCTTGTATAGTTTCTCATTTTGCTACATGCCAGCAATTATAATCCTAGAATGAAGCCCGGTGTGTGTAGCATAAGAATCTATGCACGCGTGTGAAAGGATATGGTGTTTGAACGCTTCAAATTACTTTCATGCAATGATACTACTATAGATCATGGAAGCTATATATCCCCATCTGGCGTCGTGGCTCGTTTAGTGCGACCCACGCATTTGAAGATTTGATAGACACGCGTTTATTTTTAGATACGCATAGGATGATGCTTCAATATGACAGGGATGTGAGGATTAAGAGGTGTCGTATGTAAAGGTCTTGCTGACAAGTGGTACTTGATGTATGGCGTTTGGGTGTTCTTTTACTACATTGAGGGGTGTACATACCATAGCGAAGGATGACAATGTATGTTGATCTTAAGGTTGCATCATTTCCATCATAAATCTTTTTAATTATGAGCCATCTTTATTTGGAGTGACCAAGTGGCTATACTAAGGCAGCTACATGACTTCAACGAGCATCTTTACTCAACGCGAATAGCTCCAGACATTGCTTGAGTGCATACCTTCAAAGCTTGGTGATCCTTGAACTACTATATTCACACAATCTTCCATAGGTTGTCATATACCATATACCAAAAACAACCGTAGCCCATGCATAAAAAGAAAAGAGAACCCTTGTGTCTTATCGCCGTGACCACCATCGTATCCAAAAAGAGAACATGATCCATAAAGCGAAAAGAGAGCCTTGTGCCGTAAACCCATGGTAATAGGTGTGCAACGAGAATACCGCTAATCAATAGTAGGGCTTTTTGTCCTTCGCGCCTATAAGGCCGTACAGGGTCGGTTGACATGTTGTTGTTGTAGTGCCTGATTGTGGGTTTCCAGGATGCACGACACAATAATGGCGACTTGGAGGTTGTAGACGATGACAAATGGATTGAGGAAGGTGTTGCGATGACGCCTCATGGTGTAGATGGAATACGAGATCCAGACGAAGGTGAAGGAGTGCTAATGGCGGTAGCAGTAGTCAAGAGGGAGTAGCGGAATTGGTGAAAGTTTGGGAGGTTGTTTGATGGTTAAGATGATCAGGCGTAATCGAGATGGTGTGTTGTTGCATAATTGATTCAGGGCTTCATCAACACGGCCGCCACAACGATCACACAATTCAACATCAATCATTTCTTGGTGGTATAGCTGATTCGCATGTGGCCATAGAGATGTAACCATTGTAGTATTGTTGATTAAGGTATGACAATAGTTGAATCAGTGGTGCTGATGGATGACGACAAAGGTGGCCATGATCAGTTGCTGTACATGACATAGGATCGTTGCTTGGTTTTGCCGTAGCAGTGCAATTCTTCTTTTGCAGATCATCGTCGCCAGGACTTATAATATTGGGTGATCAGAGCTTCTTTCACGGTATCGCCTTTGGACAAGTGCTTGCAGTTGAGTGACATGGTAGTAGAGATTGCATATGAGGACGCATATATAACATCTCGAGGGGAAGGTGTACTGGCGGTAACTTGGCTGGCATAGCTGTAACAGGTTGAGGAGGGATGATGGAAGGAGCGACATGAACAACACAAGAGGCGGCAACAGGATTAACAAGGGATTCCCAGGCAGTTCCGGCGGCGATGAATGCGACGACCTGGGAATTTCAGCAAGTTGAGTGATATGAAAGTAACCAAGATACCCACGTCACTATAATAAATACATACCTTGTTGTTGTTGTTGTAGCTCTTCGTCCTCTTGCTTCTCCATGTGGATAACGTGCAAAGACATTGATCACATGAGAGCATACCTTGTTGTTGCTGTTGTTGTTGTTTGCGTTGCAGCGTCAAAACCTGTGAGAGCGTCGAATGCTTCACATACTAGACCTCAAAACAAACGTGAGTAGCTTGGTAGATAATAATCATTGCTGCCAATACTTACACAAGCCATCAATATGAATAGTCGTGGTGGTGGTGAAAGCATCAGGTGCAGAGATAAAAAGAGCGAAACAGTAAGAGGAAAAGGAGGAACAACAGGATCCGAACGTGTAACAAAAGTGGGAAGCATAAATGGCACTAAGGCCACTGTCAGAGAAGGCGTATCACCGACACCAACACAAGTGGAAACTCCAAGAGAAAAAGACGCTTGCGAGAATGCTGGTCCACCCATACCATGAAATACATGCCATTTTGGGAAAAGGTGGGTCCGCGTTATTCCAAATCAACCACAGCGCAAGACCAAAAGATATGCAACATCACCACACGGGCTTCTTCTTCAATAGGGACCATCAAGATCATCATCGCCAAAACGAACAGGGTTGTATGGTTGCCGTAGTCGCCGAATAAATCGGAAAGGACCATCGTAAACCCAAAAGAGGATGCCATGGTAACAGTTGCATAGTACCAGAAAGGGACCTTGAAAAAGGGAAATTCGCTTTGTCCACGTCAAGCTGCAGTTTGCCTTCAAAAGCTGTCGTCGAAAGGTACAATCCTTGTCAAATAGATGCCCTGAACAGAGATGTCTTTGTCTTGGCCCATTCCAGTATGAAGCTTCAAGTTGATGATGCTGGTACATCATTGCCAGGTGTGCCATAGACCTTGCTACGCCAAAAGCATTCTCCATACTCCTCTTCGCTGCCTACATAGAAAACAGGTTTCAGTGATCTTACGGAGAAGAAAAGTTATAATCATACTAGTACGTACCATGCACTTGAGCACCTTGAAAGGGTGATAAAAGATAAAGACGTGTGCCGAAAATGAAATTTTGGACCTGTGACCTATAATTACAGCATTGGTACATGCAACGTAAAAAGTGTTGCCAAACACAAACGAGGTTGAATATGCTTACTTTGGTGCACATACTGGTCCGCTGGTCCTTTTCATTGCAGCACAATATCCAATCTTGACCGATCACGGCATTCACACTCTATGTTAATCAACGTTAGCATCATTGCCAAATCCTTTGTCCTCATATGGGTGTCCATACCCCATGTATTTTGCGGATGCTGGCAGCCACCATTCCTGATTCGTGACAACGCGTTAACTTCTCAATCCAATCACGCACTCACGTACTTTTATCACTTACAAAGGAGTCCAAAATTTCCCATCAGGCCACGGTTGGCGTTAGCCTACGAATGTACCAGCTATCCTTTTAACATCATTGATGTATATATAAACGAAGAGGATTTCATACCTTCCACAAAGGGTCCAACAAGAAACACACCCAAACGTCTTTAGGCACCAATAAAGCACACCAGGTGGTAAAGCAATGAAGTGAGCAACCTAGTTGAAAGCATGCATGAGTACCCTCATTTTGGGAACCACGTAACGACTCTCGTTGAGACTTACTAAAGGGCATCCAAGTAGAAAGAAGAGAGTATAATTGTGGTGGACAACAGCCTTGTTTAAGTATCCGTGGGCGTGTGAATTGTTGTGCATGATGGATCGAGCTGATAAAGTGGTCAAGCGTATCGAGGTATGTCCTTCAGCCCAATGTTGATGGCACGACATCATTGCTTCGGTCAATACAGATCTTGTTACGCCAAAATGGATTGCCATATGACCATTCGTTTCCTGCAAGGACAACGAGGTTCAGTGATATCAAAGATAAACGAAGCACTAATCCTACCAGCATGCATCCTGCATTTGAGCACCTTGAAAGGGTGATAAAAGATGAAGATGTGTGACCAATGGTGACCTAAATTGTTACACGCAATGATAAATAACCCTTTCAAATAAAAGAAAGTTTGGCATGCTTACGCTGTGCACATAGTGGTCCGCAGGTGAATTGGTGATAGCAACATGTCCATTCTTGGTGATCCACCCATTGTCAACCTACATAAAGCACCGTTAGCGCTATTGCCAAAGCTTTAACCCTCACATCGATGCACGTACCTCAAGTATTGCCCTGATGTTGCTTTCCAACCATGCCTGATTCATGACAACGCGTCAATGTCGGAATGCAATCATGAGTGTTGTCAAAATATGCGGTTTATAGCCATCGGCTCGACAACTTAAACGCATCAATCCTGGGAGTGGAACCATTGGTGCTGGTGCAACACATGTCCAAAGCAGGGAGCTCCAATGATAAAAAGATCCGGACGCAAATAGCAATCCAATATACGCGAGGACTCATGTAGACTTGCAACCCTTGTATTCCATTTCTTGATCCAATCGCCCAAAGATTCATAACCACCGTGATTGATATTGATAAGTGGAGGTTCCAAAAGCTTCCAATAATAGAGTTATGTCGTGCATGTTGCATACAACAAGAGCATACGCTGTAGTTGTCGTGGATCATCCTGTAGCATGTGTCCCAATATACACGTCAGAGTGGTCATTAAAGAAATCCATCCGATCACATAAATAGCTCTTACCATATGCTGTAAACCTGTAAGGATAAGTTGCTAGGCCCTTGTATCTCATCTTGTTGCTGACATAGTTGAGGTGTTGCCAACAGCCAAGTGCTCATGGCGATAGAATCTGGTTTCTCCATTGACCCCAATGGTGCAGTCTGCTGTCGTTGAATGACGCCCATGTGTGTAAAGGAATGCTGGATTGTGGTGTCGCGTGTTGTCCAATTGAGTTGTTGCAAGAGATGGGGAGATCGGTGAATAGGAAGAGTGAAGCAAAGTTGGAAGAAATTAAGGGACGCAAGAAGTCAGGCCCCACACCCCGTGTCACAAAATACGTTGAACACACACACACACACCCGTTGATGGCAGAAGAACAGCATGTTATGGGTACTTGATACGTTACAATGCAATAGCATAAGGAAGTTGCTGTGACCAGAAAAGAACATAAATAAAGCCTTCTCTTTATCAATCTCATCAAGTACACGTGATTCCTGAAGAAGATGGCAACATGCAGGACACATTACATAGTCAAGCACAAAGGTGACTTTCTCTTTAGCTTAATGCCACATGTCTTTTTCCTAAAACCAATTCCATAATATATAAATGTGCATACATGCTATGGTCGCAATGGGGTTGTTGTCATTCTCAGGCCACGTGCATGTTAAATCCAAAACGCGTTCTGTACTAGAAATGATGGGTACCATTTATAGACAATGTCGATAGCTTTATGGAAGAGGGTAAAAACAACATAATGGGTTTAGTACTTGCAAGCGCTAAACGGGTATTGAGGGAAGGGGTTATGATGATGATGATGATGATGATGATGATGATGATGATGATTCGGTCAGGTGCATCCATTTGGGCATACGTATTGTACAGCAAGCACTGCTCTGTACCCTTATCTCCATTTTACATTGAGCCAAAGTCATCTTGGTGTCCTCCTAGTTTGGGCGTTATGCATAGATACGATATCGTGTTGCATCGCCTTGGCAACTCTACTACGTAAAGCACGATAGCTGAAATTTATATACATGTCAAATGAATCAGAGCCAAGCTCCTCCGACACAAAGTTGGCTAGCGTATGGAGTATCATTATTCCATGGATTCTTACTATTTGCTTTTTTCCACAGCATGTACGTGTTCCGTTTTTGTTACCAACTACATTTTATTATGCACGAAAGGATATCATGTAAGGTGGATGGTGGGAGAGCTGACCACTGTTATGTGACTAAAAGGGTAGGGCGGACCTGTAATAGAACAATCAGGTAACTTCTCACGTATCATGGATTTGATATCTTCATCAATGGGGTAATTGGTTGAGAGGTGCTGTAGATGACTACAACGTTGTAAGCCTAGTAAACCTGCTTGAGCCTCACGTATGTCTCCACTGATAATAAGGCGCTTTAGATTGGCGCAGCCACCAACTTGATACAAGATGCGATTTGGCACCATACCATCATTATGGAGATGTAGATCTTCCAAGCTTTGACACCCTTGACGAAGCGATTCAAACAACCTCACAAATGGCTCTGATGCGATATCATTGGTAAATAAATACAACGATGTCAGAGATTTCAATCCTCGAAAGCCGTCAATCAGCATGGCGTCTGCTTTATGGAGTCGTACATTGAGCACTTCTAAACGTGATCCACCTTTATCAGCCGTATAGTTGGCATGGTCTTTTACAAACTGTGACACGATGGCATCATAATCTTCAGAACGTTGGGTAGGATGAGTGGCGAAAGATACTGAGCGAAGGTGAGCGCATTTGGCCATTGCTTGTAATGTGTATTTATTCATTATATTGCCGTGTAGTGTAATTTCTTGCAAAAAGGGCGCACGCTGAATTATCCACGCGATGAAACTGGCATAAGATTCCATGTTGGTGTTTTCTGACACTGTCCACAAAAGTAGCCTTTTGAGCCGTGTGAATTCAACGCTACGATAGTTGTGCATAGCATCGGTCATGTTGCCCGTATGGGTCGTATTGAAATGGCCCCTGAGTGCCAATAATTGAAGTGTAGCATGATGGTGGATGATAAGAGGTGCAATGGCGTCAAGTGCAAATAAATGCCTGGTGGGTACGATTGAAAGAGAGACCAACCCTTGCTCTTCATATTCCTCAAACGTGAGATTTTGGTGATACGTGCTTGGACATTCACCATATCCCAAATGACGAATAGCTGGTATCCATGGGTCATCCACTGTCACGGGTCGTGAGCTGCCAACGATAGCCATATCCAATGCCCTCAAGCTTGGTAGGTGTTGCTGCAGCATCACCATGACCTGATCATCCACCGTCCCAATCACCGAGTACATCTCAAGCGTTCTTAACTTTGGGTAGGTCACCTTCAGGGATGAAATGTCGACTGCTGATTGGCAATTGAAGGAAACCAAATTCGGACATGTTGCCAAAATGTCTCGCAGCCGAATCGTATAATCGTTGTTGTGACCCAAAGGGGGCTTTTCATATATTAATGTCGTCAACGTCATGCCGATCAATGATAATCCTCCCATCGTTTCCTCAACGGTTGCTCCTAAATACAAAATACAAGGATGGCGTAAGTGTGTGCATCCATGCCATGTATATCCATCCCACCTTTCAATCCTCACGTACCATTTAGTTGCAACGTTGTCAAGCTTGTGAAGGGATACCTTTCCAAAAGTTGGCTCAATCTGCCGTCGCCGTAGTAATAGGTAAGTGATCGCACATGGTTGAATGACTGAATCACCATGTCACTGGTTTCCTCCAAAGCCATGATACTGTCCAAAGAATATTCAAGATGATTGGCTGCCATGATACGATGCCACCAATCCCATGACACCATGACGTATTCTCGTTGCTGTGGATACTTTTCGTCAACGTACAGCTCTTGGATAATACGAGCACTGATGTCGATAGGGAAGTCGCATATAAAATCTCTGCACCTTTCGCCCTGCTGCAAGGCCTTGTCTTTTGATGTGATGATGGTCTCGTACGATGGATCACGCTTATCCACACACTCCATTGCTTTTTCATACACGTGGACTGCTGTAATGTATCGTCCTTGTTCCATGTGGATGTATCCTTGGCACAGGTAACCGAGTGCTGACGCTGGATTCATTTCTTGCATTGTAGTTGCTGTCTCCAAGGCTTTGGCAAATTGGGCACAAGCAACGTACGATCGTGCTCGCATGTCAAGCAGATGGAGTCGAAGATTCTGTAATTCGTTGGCAATGGCGACGGTCTCCTGAATGACATGGGCGTGTTGACCTCGAGATGCTGAAGCGTGTAGGTTGTCTATAACGGCAAAGTCTATTGAGCGAGTCATGAGTGGAAAAAAGGGGGAGACCAACGAGAGCGAAATTACGTGGTTGAGGATCAGCACCAATGTTGTACCACGTTGCATGCAAATCACGTTGTAGACTTGACCCATCTTTTTTAGTTGTCAATGATATTTTTGGTGGCTCTCTTTTACTAACACCTTAGATACCTAAACCAATAAAAAGTAAAGGTCTTTGTTTAATGGCTTGCTTCCACCCTTGAGGAAAACGATACTTGTCTAAATGATTATCCTTGTGTCACATACGATGATATGGGAGAGGATGACCCCCTTTTGAGGTTCTTTGCGAGCACATTGAGGACGTCTTTGTTTGAAATCAATAAAGCATGGGAATGATACATGGTGTATGCAATGGTCAGTGTTGTTTTTAGATAACTTTGTATAGAGCAGTACACGAGATCCATCGCCTGTGTTTAATCATCACTTGCTTATTGGCCCATATCAAAAGTATTCAGAGCAGCAAAAGCGTGGCACCTATGGTGAACACCAAAGACCACGACATCCATTTTAACAGTGATGGTACCCCCTCCCACCTCAAATTATTACCATTGGTGCCGTTATCTTCTCTACAATATGATGCTGACCCAATTTATTGCATGTAGCGTTAAACTACATAGTACATTAGCAAGCAAGGATATCACCAACCACTATCCCAACCACAATAGCTCTTGCCGTATCCATGCGAACTTCCATAAATGTGTGCAATTCTCAAAGTTCCATGAATACATGCATAGCCATCTTGAACAAACATACCCATAAGATTCCATCATCTCTTTGTTAAGATGATGTTGTTGATGATGAGCAGTATCTTCATACAATTATACAATCTTTGGATACTACCACAGCTTCCACCATAAAATGACAACGTGCCAACGATAGTAACTATGCTCTTGACGTGTGTGTATGTAAGAAGCCGCAATTTGGTAATTGCACATTGTATCCCCTGGGCCTGGTTTATCTTTTTACTATCCAAGTTGTCACCATTCAGCACCACCATCGTACACACGCTGATAGAATGCTAATTATGGATACTCCATTTGCTGAGAAAAGGTTGACTGCTAAAGCAAAGGCTTGTTTAGAGTGTTGCAAAGCCCATGTGCACGTGTAACATCATAATCACGCCCAATCGCCATAGTGCTTAATCACTATACGTGGAAAAGCTATTATCCTACCGATATACCAAATTTGCCCTTCGCAATGTTGAGAAAGTGACCAATGAAGAATAAATAATTAAAGCGTAAGCATAATCACACGTCCCAATTCCAACGGACCAACACGCTTTTGGCACGAATCTGTAGAAAATTCATGGTTTTATAACCGAATACACAATTTCAGAGGAGGTTCATCTGTAGAATGATGAGGCAGCGAGAAAAAAGGATCGAAGGCTCCGGCTACAGCACACAATCCGCATGACATCCTAATTCCAATGGTACTACCAGATGCAGAAAGCATGGTTTTATAACCGTATACAAAATTTCTGGCAAGGTTGACTTGTAGAATAATGAGAAAATAAGGGGTCAGTGGTATGATGACACGTCTATGCTGTGTTTGAATATGATGTGGCTTTGTGTTTTGGGTATAAAAAAAAGTGCAGGGGGGTGAAAAACTTTTTTGTTTTTCTTTCCGCAGCTGTTGCTCCCACGGTCTTCAAAGGTAAGTTTTCTTTTCTTTTTTCTTATGTGTGGTGGTATGGGTGAGTGGATGGCGGTGGTGGTGGTGGTGGTGGTGGTGGTGGTGGTGGTGGTGTGTGTGTGTGTGTGTGTGCCACAGGTAGGTGAATGGATGGGCAAGAAGAGGGGATAAAGAGGAATGTGTATGGGTGAGAAGGGTGGGTAGGGGGGTAGTCTGACCACGACTATAACTTGGTCGTCCTGATAACGATGTGAGAGGTGTCCGTCTGCAATGACGTAAACTTGCGTCCTGATAATGACGTTACCACTATCCGTCTGACCACGACGTATACCTTGGACGTCCTGATAAACGATGTTAGAGGTGTCCGTCTTCAATGACGATAACTTGCATCCTGATCAAGATGTTAAACTAATTCGTCCGGAACGACGTTAAACTGGGTGCGGATTGCCAATCACCTCCCCGTGGTCGCACCTGGAAACCATCTTCATTGATGGGCTAAGAATTGGCACAGCTAGTTGTTTACTTTTAATAAATAAAGCTTTTCTTATATACAAACGCATCTATTATGGTCATCCTTTTATATAAATAATTCAAGGTCTATAGCCACATAGTCTTCTCTTTTGTATGTTGTAGCTTTTATATATATAAATAAACAATCATTGATCGACACATAGTGATAGTAATTATGTGGGTTGTTATGGGAGCAGCTATGTGAGAGGTTGTTGGGTGGTGCTGTTTGAGGAAAGGTGCATGGAGATGGGTCATTTTCATTTGTGTGCATCAAAAGGGTATGCGTGCGCCATGTACTCAGCTTCTCTTTGCTTGGTTCCATCCAGACTCGACAACAACACGATCGTAATTCGACATTGGGAAGGAGCTCATTAGCAAAGGTTGTCGGGTAGAGGGTGCCCATAAAGGCGAGCAACGTGTTAATAGAGTGTAAATGTAGACTTGCCTTTGTTGGCTTTGTATACTGATATGGGTGTCTTGTCACAGCTGTCGTGGTTCAGGAATGTCGACAATTTCAAGATTGAGGAGGAATGTGGAACGAGATTCTGCTCAAGAACGGCAACGAGTGCTCTGTTGAAGTAGGAAGCTAAAGCGAAGGTGCAAGGTTTGTAGCAAGGCATTGGTTGGCATGGACACCGTTCATTGACGAGCCTATTGGAACTAGCACCAGCAACTTTTATTCGGGCGTACCAATCACGTGAGGTCATAGCCGTGCAAGAAGATGAAAGGATACATGGACATGAAGAGATGCAGTACATGGTATGGATATACTTTGATGGCCCGTCAAGATGCAGCAACCATGGCAATGTTGACCGTACAACATTTCCTTGAAGCTTTCCGTATGGATATGGGAGAAGAGATACCGCTGTGAGCGATTACATGGGGATTGAATCAGGATGGTATGTACATGTTCCACAAAAGCTCTTTGAGGGGAGATGCTCGCGTATGGTTGCTAATGGCAGCTCTCTTGGGTTGTATGTCTTAGGCTCTTTATCAGTGATCCAAAATTGAGAACGCGGTTCGCCATCATGATTTGTCTCTTGGTTACGGCATCGTCGATACAGCTTCTCCTTTTCGCTTGTATTTGCTTCGGCATCCTCGTTGGACATCCATTCTTTCCTTCAACAATCCAAAATAGATAGGAGCTAGGTGCTCTGCCCATAGCAATCTTTGAATACAAATGGTTTCATCTTCATGTTCAGCCCTTGTGCGAGACGTTTGACAATAATTAAAGATCACTTGTTATTTAAGATCATGTTTCAAGCATAGTAAAAACCGTAAAGCGGGTCGTTACTCAAAACCTCACAATGAAATGCGGGGGTCTTTATTAGAACACCCATGCTCAGCATGGTCAAAGGTATCTTGTGTGCACGTTTCACGGTCATCATGGCCAATCGCAAATTTCGCGTTTGTCGATGCCAACCCAAAAAAAGTTTCAAGAGGTCGTTTTGGGCAGGTGGTGACATGGCCAAACATGAGATTGACGAGTTCAATCCTGAAACTGACACACAAGGTTGCTTGAGCTGGGCTGAGCACGGTGGTTGCAAAAAGAGCCCATGCTTCATTGACAGCTTTCGAGTTATGGATGGCTCTCTTTATGCTGTAAACATGATGCTATATGACAAAGTCGTCTTTTTCCATTGTCACGCATATAACCACTTATAGTGCAATAGCTGCAGGAGGCCGTGTTTGGGTAAGACAGCAAAGAAACCCGCATTAAAAGAGCAATGGATCATATGTATACGCCATGTCACAGTCATTCATACATTGCTAGCCATTAGCCAATTCCACCCAATCAAGACCATCATCGATTTCATAACGTATGAAAGATGCACCTGCTCCAAAGATTCACTTTGATGGTTTCATTAGATTGGTCCGAGCCAATTTGAGGAAATTATGGCCAAGTAACGGGTACATCGGTTCCAACATGCAACGTACACGGGTGTATGGAGTAGCCAAAGCCTGGTCTAAGCGTAGCTCATCCAAATTGGCTCGGATCAATGTGATTAAACCATGGATCTGAACCTTGGAGCAGGCGCATTCACCACACGTTATCAAACCCACAATGGGCTCAATTGGATGGAATTGGTTAATAGCATCCAATCTATGAACGACCATCAGACACTGGACCCATATCATCCATTGCTGTTTTAATCCTTTTTTCTTCGCTTTCGTACACAAACACCGCCTTTCGCACCTATCTCACTATAAATGTACATATGAGTCACAATCGAAAAAGACCCACGTTTATAATAGCAAAACATACACGCACCTGTAACTCAAAACCTTTCAATGAAACATGGGCTCTTTTTGATACCAGCATGCTCAGCATGGTCGAAACTACCTTGTGCGAAAGTTTCAGGATCGAACTCGTCAATAGCAATTTTTGCATTTGTGGATGCCAGCCAAAAAGTTTCTGGAGGTCGACCTGTTTTCATTTTGGCGGGTGGTGACATGGCCAAGTTGGAAATTGACGAGTTCGATCCTGAAACTGGCACACAAGGCTGTTTGAGCTGGGCTGAGCATGTTGGTTCCAAAAAGAGCCCATGCTTCATTGTGGCATTTGGAGTTATGGCTGGCGTTATGCCGTAGATATGATCCTATATCAAAAGTTGCCTTGGCTCATTCTCAATTACCTCAATCATACTATAATAAATCGGAAGCTGCAGCTGGATCTGTTTGTATTACAAAGGCAAGCAGATGCGATCAAGATCGATAACGAGCACGAGCCTAAAAGACTTGCAATCGAAGTACCATAATAACAACCCCACCTTGAAACAAGATTGAACACACAGAAAACACGATTACTAACGCGATTGCCTTTTATTTATACAGCTTTCCTTATGTCCGATATCAATAATACTATTATCCTCCTACATGCGATGTCACGTGTTTCACCCTCGGTCTATGGATCTTGCTTTTAAATGTTGTACCTTATATAGATGAGTGCCGCAACATTCATTCGGGCACCTCTTTAAAGGCAATAATAGTAAAGCATGTTGTCATGGAGACATTGGTTGCGATAGCGGTGTGTATGTTGCATGCATGTGATGTATCATGGGCAGCGGCTGATTTCGATGTGTTTGTGTCAAAGGGGTGATTTGTCTACTCAGCTTCTCCTTGCTACTTCTTATCCAGACCTCACAACAAGCGCGATCGTGGTTCGACATGGGAGCCCCTCATTAGTCAACTCCATATGCGCAAGGGTGTCAATGAAGGTGAGCAACGTGCTGATAGAGTGCAAATGTAGGCTTGTCCTTGTTCACTGTGTATACTGATATGGTTGCCTTTTCACAGCTTTCTTGTTTCCGGAATGTCGACAATTTCAAGATTGAGGAGGAATGTGGAAAGTAATTCTGTTCAAGAAGGGCAAAGGGTACACTGATGATGGGGTAAGCAAGGTGACTGGAAACGTGTGTCGCAAAGCGATTCATTGATGTGCTCTATTGGCGTGCTTGTTGTACTCAATAGCAGCAACCTTTATCCGCGACTCGATCACGTGCCAGCAAGGCAACAACAGAGCATGGGAGGATGTTTCGGCTTACGGTATGTACAAAGAGCAGTGGTGCTGAAGGAAGGCAAGGGAGTGGATCATAGGAGGATGATTAATGGGTGAAAACAGCATTAGCAGCAACCGTGTTCATGAGGTTTATCTGTATGTACCTGCTACCTGGCAACACGGATATAGTGCATGGCAACGAGAATTACATTGACACGTGGATCGATACAATGCTACGAATCACCATCAGCCGCTTAACCTTCTGCAAATGTACCACAAGACGGCATGGCAAGCGATGACATTCATTGTGTTGAATCATCACGTCGTGACGCTTTTCATTGGTCGCTCTTTAAGGTACGTCTTCAAGTACATATGTAAGTGGTGCGTTAAGTACTAATGCATGCTTTTTTTTTACTAATTCGCTTTGCTGGTACCTGTACGCGCTTTATCTTCATCTCCTACATGAACCTCAACAATTTGCAACCGCTTGACGATTACACCTATTCAGCATAACGACTGCGACCAATTGATACGGCTCATGTTGTTCAAGACCTGGTGTCCAAAGGTGTCGTGTTGACTGTTGCAAAGGGTACGTTACAACGCTATATGGTTTGAAGGAGTTACTAAGACGCAAGCAGGTTGATGACCTTGAAATAGATACACAACGCATAAACACAGGCATCTGTACGTGGAAAATATGGGGCAGGAGACGCTTGCAAAGCATACACTGGTTATTAATTCATACTGCTCATCATCATCATCATCATCCATAGGAAATCTTCGAAGCCCGCTTGTCGTCTTATATGGTGAATGGGATTGTTTCAGCACTCGGATTACTAGGGAATGATCGCAAGCTTCATGGCAACTTTAGTCAGCAGGACCCGGCGGCCATATACAATCATCTGTTTGAATCCATTGTGTTCCATGGCAACGGCTTACGATGCTACGCATGTTTTGGATTTCACCTGTATATATGGAATTGGGAAAGGCAGTATGATGGTGATAGTTTCGGTTATTCAGGTAGGCTTGGATGATGGGCTTTTTTTTGTATATCCTTGGTCAAAAAGATTGCTGGCACGTATTTGTGCACTCCATCATGAGTTTAGACATGCTGAATGAAGCCCTGATCGGTTTGGTGATGGCTCGTGGGATTGCAATACTGATGGATTGTATATGTTAATGGTTCGCTGGTGGTATTAAGATAGTTTTGGGACCCATCAAAATAAAAATACGATATACTGTCAGTGCAATAATAGCTGTGACTAAGAAAGGACGTCGTGCATAATGCTAGCTGCGTAACAAACTAATGGCAAATGGCGAAGCTGCAATGTACATAGTCAAGCGCGAAAGGATAGCTTCCATATAGAGTCGTTAAGTACAATATGGAGTGAGTGTTGTCGTAACAAAGAAAAGAAAATCATTGTTCACTGAGACACGAGTGGTCAAGATATTTATGCTGGGATGGGAATTAAGCTTGATGCTGGTGATGGTGATGAATCTAGTAAAAGCGTCTACGACCGAATCAAACAAGACTTTATCTAAAGGGATATCAACTATGCCGTTGGAGGTAGTAGCCTTTGCGCTCATTCACCAGTTCGAAGGAGGGGGATTAATTCATCATATCAACTTGGTCTTTGTCGTTGTGTTTGCGTCTTAGCTAGTGGATTTTAGATGCTGTGATCCACTATGCTAGATTTAGCAACAAACAGAGGCCATACCATGTCGTTGTTTTTCTCTATCAGGATATACCTGAACTAAAAACTAATCATGCATGCTGCATCATACGCAGCATTATCACCATTTGAATGTTGATGCTTCGTCCATATGCTCTTGTGTAATGCAAACTATGATCTACTATAATAAATTTGGCACGCTTTATTATGCATACGTTTATAGATGAATATACGATATTATTACAAGCAGTATTATTGATACAAGCAGTATTATTGATACAAGTAGTGTAGTAATTTATACATCTAGCAAGGCATGGACGACTACCACCAGTCTACAAGTGCTCCCACCACCAAAGAGCAATGCCTCCATAATAGGTTGACGAGAGCTGTAAGCCAGCCGTCTTTTTCCACAGTATAGTGCCTAAATGCAGCATCCACTATCATATGCTCCGGGTATTAGTATACATGCTGGCAAAGGGCAACTCGCATCCTTCATACTTACAATGACCTTGCCAATATACATTTTCCACTGTATGCTTGTTTCCAACCATTGGCAATTGATAGAAATGATTCTTCGTCCTTGCTTCAGTGCTCCTCATTGATGTTTGATGTTCTTGATTGGATGTTGTGCCATCAGCTTGATACGCCATCATTGGATTGAAAGCAGCTTTGATGGGCATAGTGATCAGTCTATGGATGATGATATTAGCAATAGCAGGATAAAGAAATGACCAGAATCTACTTACCCATTATGATGGGGAGCACGTATATGCTTTTGAGTATTCTTTCACTTGTGCCAACGTAAGGCCGTTTGTGGTCAACCCGATACCAGCGTGATCCTAGTTCTCCTAGCACAGTTCTTGCAAGTCCCACTTTTCTTCTTCTTTTCTTCTTTTTCCTTTTTGTTTCTACGTACGAGCCCACAATGAGAATCCACTTTTCATCCTTGATAATCTCAATCATATACATACCCTTCTTTCAGGCTCTCTTCTTCTTGATGATATTGAATGCCAATCCTTATTTGAGTGATGGTCGAGATTGTTGAGCAGATTCAGCACGGCACCCAACGGCCAGGCGACTCTTAATCGGTGGACGCACGGTGCCCTGTGACCCTGAACGACAAAGCGATGCATATCCTCCAGATTGGTCTTGATGCCATTGACGTTTGTTTCGAGGCATGGTTGTTCTATAATACCTTTGTTAGTACATGGACCTTGTATATAACCCAATTCACCCAATGATACTTACTTTGATGTTTGTGATTGTGATTGATAGAGCGCTTGAGTGAAATGATTTGTGAACGTGTATGCGCGTAAAAGAGAGAGAGAGCCATAGATTGATTTCTTTTCATATATGTGGAATCGTGCAATTGCTGTGCATAGGAAATCCAGAATCGATTGCCAGGACCGATTTGATATGGTACAGACATTCCATGATTGCATCTATATGATGCTATGTATGTATGGTAAGCGTCATGGCAACAGGTGTGCTTTCGAATCATATACATACGTTTTTAATGGTCGATCCTTGGTCGGTTTGTTCTTGACTTTGACCGCAATGTCGACCATGTTGATTTGGTAATGGTACTTCGGTCCTCGTCATGTTGTCCATAACCATGAATGAACCGCCAATGATTGGAAAAGGTCCACAGGCCACCAGGCATCCTTAGATTGATATAAAGTTGTGAAGAAGATCCAGCCTTGAGTGATGATACCAATCGTAGTTGATATCGCAAATGCTCGTGCGACGCCATACGACCCATGTGTATATGAATTCATAGGCTTCTTGATCACATAGTGTGTAGAATGATGAAAAGATCCAATATAACGTCATAGCACGTGCAATGGTTCCAATTCGTCCCCCATTTGAAAGCGTAGTAAGGGATAATATGCTCCAGCCACCAAGAGATGAAAAGTCCTCCTCATCCGCTACCACATGTGTGCTGTGAGAACGCGATCACCGCCAATAACGACTTCTGAAGATGCCAATAGCGATTCCTTCCTCCATGTCACTGAGTTGTAATATCCTGTTGATGCCGAATTGTAATAGGTAAGCCTTCTCAGAAAACCATTTGATGCACATGCCGCCAAAGGGATGCCATGGCAACGTAAAGAGACACCTGCAGTTGTGCCGAGGTTCCGCCATGTGACATAAAGCCATTGTCATAGTTGTGTGTTGTCAATCAGCCCAAGTGATAAATGCCACCAGTGTCCAAAAGTCCCTCGTGATAATCCATTCTTGATGCCATAGGTATGAAGCTTCGCAATTGCAGCGATACCAACCGTGTAGTGACAAAGTCAACACCTTCATCATTGCCATTCCATCGCTGTGCTCGTGATTCTTTGTCGCATATAGAGTACGAGAGGCCAACTCCTCATTGCGTTGTAGTATCGCGCCAAATAAACCACATGGACGCCACTTTGGTTGTTGCCATATGATTGTATTGCTCCCGCCACAATAATTCCATTATAAGGAGAACGTTTTGAGCGCCATCTTGATCGCATAGCCATGTATCGTATCACAGAGAGGAGCACCAAGTACTGAAACAAGCAGGATCGTATTCACGTGGACGAAAGAGAATAGCTGCATCGCAATGAATCGCCTTATCGAACAAACCAACAGAAGCTCTTGTGCCTTGTTTCCATGTGTGAATTCACTGCCACCACCAAAGCCGATTAACGATAGAGACCCATTGTGCCTTGAACGATGATACCAAATGACCCTAGTAGAGAATGCCGCCAATAGAAGGGAAAAGAGCTCGTCTCCTCTGTAGCCATGCCAACAAATGGGTGCCGCCAATAAATGAAAAACAATTTCCTATGCCTTGTCACCTTGCTGATAACTGTGTTCAAGTTGGGTAACGATGCCAGTGGGATCAAAAGGTACTCCTTTGGTCTGTAGCCATGACAATGAATGTGTCCAAATAGGTAGTAGCGCGAATGTGAAATGCAGTGTCCCGTGCCTTGTAGGCATGACGATAAATGTGTGCAAATTGGTAATAGCACTGATTCGAGTAATCTTGAAAAGAGACACCTTTTGCATTCAAGTCATGCAACACCCACTTGGGATATAATGATGCCAAAAAATAAAGAGTGAAAGCTTGAATATTGTAGGCATGACGACCCAAGTGTACAGCTTGGTGATGGCACCAGTAAAAAGAAAAGAAAACTCTTGCACCTTGTTGCCATGACAACGATGTCTCCATAAGATTGTGCCATTGATAAAAAGAAAAGAGAACCCTTGCGTGTGTCCAATGGTATTCGCCATATGCGTAAGATCCGAATCGGTGGCAATACCAATAAAAAGAAAAGAGAACTCCTGTCCTCCGCGACAGCAGCCGCCGCTAATACCAAGCGTCCCAAAAGGGCCCAAGGCCTATTGTCAAGGGATACATCCATTAGCATTTTGAAAAGAAGTACCCATTTTTGCTTGAATACATACCATAACGCGTGACCAAAGCCTGTTCACAGGGACACCCCACAGAACCAGAAGCAAGACGTGGCATGTCATCCCAGGCACATCCAGCCCATGTGCGATGAATGAAAGAGATCGACATGCAGGTTTCTTTCCCTCCCACGGATCCTTCAGAGTCTTATCCTCTGCACCAAGGGCACCGGAACCAACGACGCCCAATCTCATCCAAGTCCAGCCTATGATGCCAATCATCCATGTCTTGATGTTCCTTTTCAAGTACCCACTTCAAAGATGATTACCGCTTGTGCCAAAACATGATCATCCAACATGTAAAGGCGGTTGCACTATGCAGGGACACATCATGATAGCAATAACCATGATGGCCCCCACAACATGAAACGATATTGTGTGAGTAAATGGATTACAAGTCATAATGTAAAATACTTTGACGTACCTTTTCATAAACAAATCCAATACCTCAGTGGGTAGCGTTGATAAATAGACCATGAGAGGACGTAGGAAAGCATGGACTTACTCATAGCTTGCTGGAACATGGGTAGAGATTGGACTTCTCGTTGGCTCTTACAGCACCCAAGGTAGCGTCATCGATGACCATCCAGATCCTCCCACCGCGAAACCTACATGCCGACTCTCTCACTCACCACACACGAGACTGAACGTACCTGAGAATCATCCACACCTTGAATCTGGACTGCAGGGTATCCCATCCATAACCGAAAACAAAGCCCCAAGAGGGAGCGAGAGAGAGCACCAAAACCATAGCCTCCAAAGGCAAGGCACAAGAACAAGGGAGGCACTAAGGCACCCTAAAATAGAAAAGTAGTGTAAGTATCATTGTGTAATACATATCAGTGATATAGCAATTTACCAGATGTCCTCCCATTCCTCATTGTCATCATCGTCATCATCCTCTTCCTCTGCCACAGCCCCCAACTCACGCAACAACTCAGCAAGTGCAGCTGCATCTTCAGCTCTCATGGTGGGCTGTGGCATTGCTTGCTGTAATGCACCACGTGGTTGCGGACGTGGTGATGGTGGTCGTGTGGTTTTGCGGGTGTTGATGGTGGAGGTATCGGAAGAGATGGGAGTAGGTGTAACGCGAGGTTGATTGGTGGTGGTAAAAGGACGAGGACGAAAAGCGAGTGTTGCAAGGGTGACATGAGGAGTGGCGGAATTAGTGGTAACAGTACAAGTAGTAGGATGACGATGATGTGGTGATGATGCGGTGACAGGAGTGACAAAACGAGTGCTAGTGGTAGGTGTGGTGCCGGTAGCGGGTGGTGCCATAGATGTGGTTGGCATAGAGATAGTGGTTGGCATAGAGGGGGTGGTGGTTGTCATAGGAGCGGTAGTAGTGATAGGTGTTAAGGGATTGCGGATCGTGATGTTGGTGGTATTAATGGTGGTCATGGCGCTGGTAGTGGTGGGATTGGTGACAGGAGTAACGATTGTAGGCTCAACCTCCATTGGGATTGGCGTGGGTGATGGTGGAGGTGATGGTTGAGGTGTTGCGGCTTGTGAGGGAGTTTCAAGGAAAGGCATATCTAAGTAAATGGAGTAGATTAGATATGTAAGCACATGTAGAGTCGATATAGAAATATACTTACCAACATCAATAGGGTCGTCGTCATCGTCGTCGTTAAGGAAAGCAGGGAAAGGAGGGAAAGTCAAATTGGCAAACATGATGGAGATGATATCGGCATCTAGAAAATATCGTTCCATGTCAGCATACATACATCAAAGCGATCCTTTTTGGGGTCACGATAGCACTTACCAATCTCCATCAATTCAACGGGTTCTTCATAGCGCCTATCAAAAGGAGGAGCCATATAGGCATCCTCGTCAAAACGATCCTCCACGCTCAAGTGGTACATCAAGAAGGCTATATGAACCATTTGTGAGAGGGTTGTATAAAAACATATGTTTATACAAGGGTACATACCAAGTTCGTCATCAACATCATCATGATCACCATCATCACCAACAAAAGGAACATCCTCGACAGGAGCAATAGGAGCAGCAGGAACGGGTTCACCCACCACAGCAGGAACAGGAGGAACACCATCACTGGGAACAGTACCACCAACTTCAGGCACAACAACAGCACCAGCAGGGACAAAAGCAACCTCAACAACGCCACGAGCAGAGTCGGAATCACGATCAACACCAACGGGAACACCTTCACCAGCAGCAAGAACAACTTCTTCAACACCAGGAACAACACCATCGTCAACAGCAGCAGGGACATCTTCTTCAACAACCTTCTCAGCAACTTCAGCAACAGCACCAACATCTTCACCTCCCAAACCAGTAACACCACAAGAGACAGCAACAGCAGAAACAGCACCACGAGACGAGACAGCACCAGCAACACGAGACGAGACAGCAACACCACCCAAACGAGGGCAAACAGGCAAGTTGGTGATCAAAGTGGGATTTGCATCAACCACTTGAGAAACGCAACTGAAATCAGCAATGGCCAACCACTTCTCCAAATACGCAGCAACCGAACACCAAACGTAGTAATAAAAAACGGCGAGACAAGACAACACCGCAAGAGGGAGAGCAAGTTCCAGAACCAGTAGGACGGCCAAGTAAAGGAAAAGGGCAATTGGGAGAAGCCATGGAAACGTAAGGAAGAAGGCACAAAGAAAAACGCAGAGGAGCATGTTGAAAAGTAAACAGAGTGCGAAAGAGAGAGGAGTTAATTCGTTGCGGTGGAAACGTACAATTTAATACACGAGGCCACGTCACCCCATTTCACCCCATTTCACTAATGCATTGCCATGATCCTTCTCAATGGAGGTTCGAATCGGTAAACAAGTGTGTCTTTATTGTCTTTATATAGCGTACTCATCAACTAGTATAGTTGTCATAGTGACAAGGTGGTATTATTTGGGATAGCTGTATTATAGTGATACCGCAATATGAGCCTTGGTCTTCTTCATTCAATCTCCCTCTTTTCATTGACCACATATATGAACCTTTATTACGTGAATGGCTGTGATTATGTGTATGTTGCAAGTATGCACGTAGGGCTGTGACTAATTTCCATGCCTTTGTGACAAAAGGGTGCCTCCTTTACTCAACGTCTCCTTGCTGCTTTTTATCCGGACCAAAGACAACGCGATCGTGGTTCGACATGGAAGCGCTCATTAGCAACCGACATGTACGAGAGGGTGCCAATGAAGGTGCGTAACGTGATAATAGCATGCAAAAGCCGACTTGCCTTTGTTCGTTGTGTAGTCTGATATGCGTGTCTTTTTACAGCTTTCTTGGTTCAGGAATGACGACAATTTCAAGATTGAGGAGGAATGTGGAAAGAGATTCTGTTCAAGAAGGACAAAGTTTGCACTGGTGATGGGGTAAGCAAGACGACTTGGAAGATGTGCAGCAAAGGTTACTCATTAATAACTGCTCTATAGGCGTGCTTCTTGTAACCAACTGCAGCAACCTTTATCCCGCAACTCGATCACGTGACAGCATCCCAAAGCGAGAGGAAGAAAGGCTTCTCGACTACTGGAGGTGGTATGTACAATGTAGAGCAAAGCCCAAGGGGTATGATGGGATCACAGGATCGCGATTAATGGATTAAAGCAAGGTCCCCAAAGCATTGTGAACATTGGATTTGTTGATACCCGCTGTATGGATACATTGGATGGTAACAAGAATAGCATATGTGCAATGGAGATGCATTACGTAATGCTGATGGGTTTGATTATCATGAAAGGTACCTCAAGACCACGGAGAAACTGACCACATTCATCGTATTGGATCATGGTGATAAATGGTATGTTGGATTTACTTTTCATTGGTTACTTTTTACAGCATGTATTGGTGTATGTACAATTGATGTTGTTTTCCCTTATATCAATGAACGTCATTTTCTAGTTGTCATGATGAGGGATCCATAATAGCAATCTCTTCTTCGGATGATGCCACAGTACGCGTTGTCGACATGCTGTGATGAGATCTACACGTCAACAAGCCCCCTTTATTGAAACCTTGGCTATATTCGTTCGATGCTACGGTACTCCCTCTAAGGCCCTGAATGGATTCGTTGTCGCCCTTACCCATGCATCATCCATCAAAATATTGCTTGTCAGCCTCCGTCGGATGGCCTTAGGATCACCAAATACCTGATTTCAGTCACTGGTACTTACCTAATAGTCATTGTTCTCACAACACACCTCTAAGCAGCTTGCATAGTTACCAATAGCACCACAATGCCAAAGCAATGGTGTCGTTCGACTCCTGTTGGTGATGAACATACTTGCTATTACTTGAAAGGTAGCCAACAAAGCCATTCGATATGAACCATGCTCCGTAACAACAAAGCGAACTAAAACGACCTGCATGGAAACAGGCATTTGAAAAGGAACATCAAGACATGGATGATTGGTATCATAGGCTGGGCTTGGATGAGATTGCACGTCGTTGGATCCGGTGTTCTTGGTGCAGAGGATAAGACTTTTGAAGGATCCGTGCGGGGGATTGAAACCAGCATCTCGATTCCTTTCATTTATCAACCATGGGCTGGATGTGCTTTGAGATGACATCCCACGTCTTGTTCGTCGGTCTGTGAGGTCACGGGTTATGGTATGTTTTCAAGCATAAATGGGTATGGCTTTAAATGATGCTCATGAATTCCTCCTCTGTCGATAGTCGTTGGGTTCTTTTGAAGCAATCAGCATCAGCAGTAGCTGGTACTTTGGAGAACGGGAGTTTTCGGTTCTGGTCATTGGCGTCGTTACCTACATATTCAGCTCTTTAGCTTATGGCAACAGCATTGTGCACATTCAAGAGCTTTTTGGTCTTATCCATGGTGCCATACGTCTTGTACATCATTGGAATTGCTAGTTGCAACAAGGTGCTGGGGTCTTCCTTTGGTATGATTGATGTCATAGCAAGCTGACGACATTGATCGCTATGGTTTCAAGGCTCAAGTTATCATCTTCCTTTAATCGTCATGGTTATATACGAAGAGACCGCTTGCATGGCTAGAACGCACAATTTGTCTCGACGCGTGTTTACTGAATCGCTGTCATTACCAATTTGAAAACATTTGTCATCATGGAAGCAAAGCAGACTGCGCTTCTTGCATTATGTTTGTGCTTATCGTTTGGGTGCACGTCATCGTTATTGGTACAAACCAGAGGAGGTTGCTTTCTACTTTATCATCTCGGAGGCACTACCGATTATGGTTGTCATGGCTACAAGAGCCAAGGGGCCCTTTTTCACGCAATGGACTATGCGATTCATTGCTACGCAACTATCATCATCGCTGCTGGCATATGGGATCCCGCTTCATTTGGTGCATGGTGTACCTGGCTGTGGCATGATATGTGACTACTGGATCAAGATGCCTATTCGACAGGCTGCCTTTTTATTATTGACATTACGGTGGCATGCAGCAGCACGATGGTCGTATTGTGGAATCCCAAAAGAGGTTTCATGGTATTATGTGGCACAGTAATACACGGCAATCAGAGAGCTACCCATTGTCATCTGCACCCGTCAATGGATCATGAGCATAGCAACGCAATGGCGATGATGACGGCGTTTACTTTACCCATGGCCTAAACCATCTCGTGCATCAAGGTGTCTCTTCTCATTTATCAATATTGGGCCTTCGGCATTCTTAGTCGATCCATACTTCTTCATGTTACCAAAAGTGGAATTATGGCCAATGAGCTTTTGTAAACCGGTCGCATCTTTCGTTTGGCTTGCTCGGCAACAACGTCTAGGTGGGTCCACTTTATGTACGCCACATGACAAACCAAGACACAAGCATTGCTTTCGAAGACTTTGGGTTTACCTTTGGATGGAGCAACAAAATGGCTATCGATGCTATGATATTATACCATGGATTCCACCTCGACAATGACTATGCAGAGATGGCATTGCTATCTTTGGGCTGGAGATCTGTTTTAGACGCCCTTGTACCAAACACATACGACAATCATCTCAATGAAGCAGCATGATTACAATTGAAGGAAGACATGATGCCTATTTCGGCTAATGTGGTGGATATCGGTGATGAAACCTGTGGATAAGCTTGTTCAAGCAGGACATGACAACGTAAGTATACATTCAAGTGATCCAAGGAGCTACATTTGCGTTGGAGTAAGAAGGAATGTATATGCTACAGTTACTTCAGGTAGAGGATAGACGTTGCTGTCTCACTAGCTGGTTTAGCGTACCAATTACATTAGCGATAATAAAAAACAGCATTAAATCAAAACCAGGTTATTAGAATGAGTATGTTTGGCTTATGGGAGGACGTGATAAACGATTAAGATTGGATCAAGTAGGCTGATGCAATCCAGAAAGTAATGGACGTGGGTGTCTACCATTGAAATGACATGGCAGCTCTTTATTTACATTTATCCTAAAGGGGAATGTTGCATCAAGACATAAACCAGCAAATGGTAGAATGACAGTCTAGTTACATGATACCCTAAACGATATATGTATGCTTGGATCAAGCAGTAAAAAAGTTCATTTAGAGAGATCATGATCACTTTAGCAAATCGAATGCATGTTCGATAGGGAGACAAGGTATAATGCAATGCAGCACATAGAATGATATTCTTTTCTGTTGCCATGGTTACACCTTACGATTGTGGTTAAACATCTATGGAAAGAGGTTATGGGGTAGGTAGCCTGAACCATTGGCAAAAGGAACGACTATGGCTAAAACAATATGCAACATACATCGTGTTTGCTAGTATTACGAAGCGACAGAAAACAATGATAGGTAAACATGTACAGGGCCATTGTAAGCTGAAAGCATCTCAAATAGTAGTAAAATGCCTAATCTAATCCATATATAGGTTGATTGCATGCAATGCGTGATTCAATCCATATTATTGTTTCGTTAACCACCATCAGTGCATGTGGCAACATTACCATCATCCCCTTTTTTACCCTCATCATCTTTATTCTTATCCCCCTTCACGTCCATATCACCTGACTTGTCATTGTTGTCGTTTCAAAGTTGGTATTGCAGCTATATAGCATACTATAAGACCTGCTTTGGTTCGCTTGTAACGTACATCCGATCAAAACCGCTTACAATTGTGTTAGCTGTTTACCCTCTTGACAATCGTGGAGCTATTTTCATACCACATGGTTACATGAAGTGCTTGTGTTATTGTATAGGATATCCCAAAAGAAGTGGAACATGAGGACAATGATTTCGTGGTTAAGGTGCTTGTTTTTGTGGGTGATGATTATTTATTCGTGGCTAATAACAACTGAGTTCGTGGGTGGTGGTTTTTAGTTTCGTGAGTAACGCTTTTGGTTTCCTGGGCAGCGCCTTTTGAATTCGTGGGTGACCCTATTGGTTTCGTGGGTGCAGCTTTTATTTCATCAAGGATGGCTTTAATGTTCGTGGGTACCGCTTTCGATTTTGATGATAAGCTATTCTATGCAACAGCACACATCAATTAACAAGTCTTATGCAATGTTGACCAGCAATGCAGCGTATGAAACCTTTATCCTAATCCACGAAATCATTACCTCATGTTTCACTTCTTTTGGGAACTCCTGTAATACCGTCCCAAAAAGAGAAAAGGGAAAATAAGAACAATGGAAATAGAAGGAACAACAATTGGGGATCAGGCATTAAATACAAGTTACATGCATGGTATCGAAGACGAAACAACGAAACCGCATAATCACTTTTAGATCGCCTGGAGGTCATGCCATCATGCACGATCAAAGTTCCGCTTTAGGCAGATAGCGGGCTTATCAATCGCCGGCGAGTACAAAAAAATAAGAAGAAAAAAAACGTCCTCTATGGTCCAGTGGTCAGGATCCCTGTCTTTCACACAGGTGGCCCGGGTTCGATTCCCGGTGGGGGAATTTTTTCTTTTTGGCATTTGTCGTTATCGTTTTGTATCTGGCTGGAAGCCAATGGCCAGATTGTAGACGAATCGAAAAGTGGAAGAGAGTTGTCCTTTAATCATAAAGTGTTCTAACAATATATATACGTATACAAAATGATGGTATTGTAGTACTAAGGATATTGGGTGTGCTATTATATAAATGTCACGTGTTGAATGCTTGATCCTGCGACAATATCCCCTCCCGAAATTGTTGGTCGTCCTCGAACAAGATTTTGTGTGGTGTGAGCGTTGAAAGTTGTTGCCGAATGTTGGCTCTGGAGCTTGTTGGATCGTACCATGGTTGTGTAGGCGGTGACGAGTGAAGGTGAATTGGTCGAAGACGATCGGTATGAACCCACGAAGCGTACGTGTTGCTTTGCATGTCTTGAATTTGATACACGTGAGTGTCCAAGTTGCGAGCAAGGATGCGATATGGGCCTTTCCAGTTGTACTCCAAGCTGAATTTGTTTTCATGGCGGAGAAGAACATAATCACCAACATTGAATACTTGAGGTTTCATGATAGAATCCCATCGCTCTTTGTCATGTTTAGCGTTATTCTTGAGTCGTTGTTCTGCTAAGAGACGTGCTTCACGTAACGCTCAACAGCTGGTACACGGCCTTGAGCCAATGTTTCACGAGTTGGTTCCGCTTCCTTTTGTAGGCGGAAGGGATGAATGGTGGTAACTCATCGCCAGGTAATTTGGGTTGTTGACCATATACAAGATAATAAGGACTGAATCCTGTGGTGCGGTGTTTACGGACCTGGCATGCGAAAATAGCTTGTTGCACGTAATCATCCCAACGATTGATATCTCCATTAACGTACTTTCGGATCATTTGTTTAACAATTCCATTTGTGCGTTCGGCTTTGGCGTTTGTGCGAGGGTGAAATGCCGAGGTTAATTTGTGCTTGATTTTCATGCGTCCCAGGTAATGAGCGAGTGCATTGGACATGAAATTAGAACCGCGGTCCGTCAAAATCTCATTCATGCAACCGAACTTCAAGACGATCTCTTCATGTATGAAAGCTGCGATGGCATCACCAGTAGCGAAAGGGACAGCTCGTGCACAACACCAATTTGTTGCATAATCCACCGCGATCAAGAGCCATTTGTTTCCTCGAGCCGTAGTGGGAAGTTCACTCAATGAAATCCAGATGCCAGCGAGAAAGGAGGTGGAATGTCCAAGGTTTTCATTGGTGCATGATGAGTTTTTCTATCGGCATTTGCGGCAAGTTGGCATTGAGGGCAAGCTGCAAGCCATTCTTGTATATCCTTTCTCATGTGTGGCCACCACCAACGTTTTGTCATTAGATCGGTCACCGTTGCTTTGGCAGCATGTCCCACCGAGTAGTGAAAATCGGCAACAAGATCAGCTCGACGAGCAATAGTACGAAACGACGTTCCTCAATTTGGTCACCATTGAGTATCAAGCGGTATACTTGATTGTCCTTGACGATAAACTTATCCTTGTTCTCGTGCAGCAAGTCCTGAGAGAATCCGGCCATCGATCTTGAGCGGCGTAAACCTTGGCCAATCCGTGTCTTGTACCGATTCAATAGCATACAAGTATTCAGGCTCCATGGATGCTGTTCATCTGTGTGGCAAGCCGGTCCATCACGCCTTGACAATAGGATCAGGTATGCAATTCTCCTTCCCTGGTTTGTATCGTATGTCGGGTGAATACAGCTCGATTTCTCCAATCCATCGTAAGGCGCATGTTGGTTTCTTTTGGGCTCTGAAATACGTCAAAGGATTGTGGTCGGAGAAAACGGTATATGGTCTACCATCGATGAAACATCGCCAAGTACGTAACGCATGAATGATGGCTAACATCTCTCCCGCTGGAAAGTTACGGTAAGATATCGCTTCTCGCCTGATTGGATCTTTAAACGTTGATATCTCCGGCCCCAGCAATGTGACTGTGAAATGTATATCAATCGGAATATTTTGCTTCGGAGAGTCTACTGGCCACAAGTCACGTGAAATTTGGGCGGACCTCGATTTTTACCATTTAACGTGTGCATTAGGCTATTATATATGCTGGATCGCTATCATGTGCTATAAAGCTACAGTTTGGCAGTGTATGGTCTTATGAGATCACGATGTGATCATCAAATGTTTATTCTATATAGTCATGAATATCACTATCATCGCTTTCTCATCAGATGATCTTCATCATCAAGTTGATCTCACGAATTGAGCACTGCCACTGAGTCGTCAATACGTCGTCGACGACGTCGGTGACCATCTTCATGATGATCTATATATAACTTTAGTCATGAATAAAAAAAGTAAAAAAGGAGCTCGAGCTTACCCTCCAATATAGTATTGATAAGACTTTCAAAACCATCCTCATCTTGACCATCTTGATCGATTACCTCAGTCAACAATGATTGGGAGCAATACGTAACTGAACGAAGTGCTACC